GGCCGATCATTACATTGGAGATTCTCTTCCTGGTTTTCAGGGTGTACTCCAAGTGCCTGGTGATGGACCAGTACCTGTCCAGGGCGATGGCTGTCACGTTCCAGATGCTGGCAGTGCAGCACAGCACATCGAAAGAGATCCAGACATAGCACAGGGCTCTGCCCAGCCCCCAGCGCCTCCCGGACAGCTCATTGACCAGACTGAGGGGCATGACCAAAGCCGCCACCATGACGTCGGACACGGCCATGGAGGCCACCAGGTTGTGCGGGACTCGGTGAAAGGTCCTCACTCTCAGGATGGTCAACAACACCAACAGGTTCCACGCGAAAGTGGCCACGATCAGCAGCGACAGCGCTGCCAACGTCAGGACACTGAAAACAGAGAGAGATTCCCTGCTCGGGGCACTCTCAGCTGAGCTCTGGTTCGGGAGGAGCGAGGACCCGCTGTTGTTCATGGTTTGCTTATCCTGGGAGAGTGAACTCACATTGTAATCCTCTCGGCACCTCTATGAAGCACTGTGCAATCCAGCATTCACTCAGACAAGGCAACTGTAATGTGATACTTGGATAACTTGTTGGTTCAGTCAATCTATTCTATAACAAGACCTGTTACAGTCCAGTGTATCTTTCCGGATTCCCACCGCCATCAGAGGTCACTGAACCCTGGACCTCTCGGTTGGTGCAGGTGTTTGCCAAACATGGAAGCAGCGAGTCCTTCCTATTATCATTTCAAAGCCTTTGATAGAAGCCTATCCGCACAGCAGATGCTGAAGTGACGACAATGCAAATACCATTCAAGTACTGAGCAATTTGTGACATAAAACAACAGCCTACGTGATCTTCATGGTGATGAGGCCAAAATACTATAAAAATGGATCATCTTTTTACCTGATCTTAACGCAATATTTCTTGTTCAAAAGAAACGTCCGGCAGACAGTCTCATTCAAAAGCACTGTAATCCATTCAACGCGACTTTTCTGGAGATAAACTATTAATACTGTTTTAAAGTATGTTTAAAGCCTGACCCCACTCCAGTAGTTATGGCTGGTATCAACATCGTTGGTTTGTTTACACACCAAGCAAACCGTCATAGTTAGCAGTGAGAAGTGGTAAGTATCTCCCATCGTGAAGCTGATCACAAATAATAATAATAATAATAATAATCCTTGCATTTGATATAGCGCTTTTCACGTCGGGAGGACGTCCCAAAGCACTTCAAAGAACACACTATAAAGTGAATTGACTGTATACTTGTGGGCGAACGCGGCAGCCAATTGCGCACAGCAATGTCCCACAAACAGTCGTAGATTGAAAATGACCAATTTATTATTGTTTTGTTTTTTGGAGGGATTATTATTAGGTGTGTGGAGTAAGGAAACTTGCCCAAGGTTTCGCCCTCTGCCTGGAATTGAACTCAGCTCTCTCACTTGCAAAGCGAGTGCTCTAACCACTGAGCTACAGGACTCCACAAATCCCTCACAACTTTGTGTTTGTCAGCCTTCACTTGTAGACATTTATCATTTGCTCACTGCTTAACTGCAACATTTTTTTGCGATGTTCAGCATTGGCTATATTTTACTCCAAAACCATTTTGGAGGCCAAAAGCAGCCCAAAAGGCACTGTTCTCCACCACCTCCTCTGTGAAAGCCGCCCCGCCACCCCCCCCCCCCCCCCTCACACCCCCCCAGCTGCCTCCATCCTCACTTCAAACTCCAAGTGCAAAGAGGTCCTACACTTCTTCTTTTCAGATTATAAATATCCACTTGGCTGCATCCTCCTCCCCTATGTCCTCTTCCACACACCCCAGACTGTCTACACCAGCCTCTCCTTCCACCACCACCTGCCACACCTCACCACCACACACTCCTTTGTCCCAATTAATCCCACCTTCCTCTCAACCACCATCTCCCAGATGAATCCTACCACTTGGTGCCTCATCCAACTCCCCCTCCTCTCCCCGCTGCTGCCCGACACAACCAGTCACTCTTCTCAGGTTCTGTTCCTCTCCCCCTTGAAACTGCTGTCATCATTACCCTCCTCAAAAAGTCCTTGATTTCTCCAACCTCACAAATTACCATCCCATTTCCAACCTGTCCTTCATTGCTGAAGCTCTGGAACGCATTGTCGCTAACCAGCTTTGCTTTCACCTTTCCCTCCACTCTCTCCTTGAGCCCCTCCAGTCTGGTTTCCGCCTGCCCATAGCAAAGAGACGGTGTTTGTCAAGTTCAAAAAATGACTTCCTGTCCCTCTGCCTCCTCATCTCCCTGGACCACTCTTACATGTTCGATACGGTCGACCACGCCATCTTCATCCACCACCTCTTCTCCCTCATCCACTTTAGCGGGACTGCACTAACCTGGTTCAAGTCCTACCTCACAAACCGCCTTCACACCATCCTTGGCCCCCTCCTCTTCCTCATCTATATGCTCCCTTTCGGAGATGTCATCCTCAGACATGTGGTTAACTTCCACATATATGTGGATGACACCCAATTCTACTTCTCTCACTCCAGTTGCGACTCCAGGTCTGCTGATGTTATCTTGGCTTATCTGGCAGACATCAGGGCCCGGATGAGCGCAAGCTTCTTACAACTGAATGTTGACAAGACGGAAGCCATACTCATAGGCTCCCGTCAATGTCTTCTATCCTGCGGCTCTGACTTCCTTAACCTCACCGGCCTTAGACTTACCGAACCTAGGCATCAGGTTCGACTGACAGCTGTCCTTCCTTCCCCACATCTGGTCCCTGATCAGGACCTCCTTCCACCACTTTCACCATATTACCTGCCTCTGATCATACCTTACCCCCAGACGCAGTTGAAACATTCGTCCATGTGTTCGTCACCTCCCGACTTGACTTTTCAAATAGCCTCCTCACGGGTCTTCCCAGGTCCACCACACACAGGATCCAGCTGATCCAAAACTCCGCCACCCGCATACTCACCAGCACTAAACTCTGTATCTCTATCACACTAGTTCTAGCCAGGCTCCAGTGGCTTCTTATCGGATTGATTTCGAGATCCTCACACTCGTTTTCAAATCCCTTCATGCCCTGGCACCTTCCTACCTCTCCGACCTACTTACCCCCCCAACCCGCTGCCACCACTCGACTGGTTCTGGCATTCTGCATGTCCCTCGTGCCCTCCGTTCCACCATTGGTGGCTGCGCTTTCAGCCACTACGCCTTGAAACTCAGGAACACTTTCCTCTTTTCCTCCGCTTTGCCCCTTTCTTCCCCATCTTCAGGTTGCACCTGAAGACCTTCCTCTTTGACTGTGCCTACAATCACCTTGGCTTAGTGTAGTACTCTGCCACTGTTAAGCGCTCTGGGACACTACCCAGTGTGAGGGGCACTATATTGGGACATGTTGTTGTATTTATATATAATATTGCAATACCTCCTGAAATATCTCTGCCAACTTGTAAAAATCATTTTACACATTGCAAGTACATCAAGTGACTCAGCAGCAGTTGTGTACAATTGATGGCAAAGCTGTCTTGCTGGTGTTAGCTTGAACTTTTTTGACGTAGAAAATCTCAAATGTTGGGGGTTAGAGTAGACATGAAATTAATAAAAAAAGCATTTCAGGAAAAGTAGGTCATGATTATTCAATTCTGTACATTTGATCAAATGGATGGTTTAAAATATTTATGATGTACTTCAATAGTTCTGTAAAATTCATACTTCAAAGATATTTACATGATTTTACATAAACTTGAACTAGTCACCATACTAGTGTCTTTCAATTAACCAGTACATCTTTTCCTACCTCTATTCCTTTAACTGATGGGATGTCAATGGACATTTGCTTTCCTGGCCTGGCTCTTTGATTTTGATGTAGAAGTTTTTGATGTAGTAGACCGCCGCTCCCTCAAAGCCCAGGCATGCTCCGCTGAGGCCACCTGGCTTAAATCAAACCTAACTGTCCACTGACAGATTTGGATGGACCATGTCAAATCCTACCGCTCTGCCCTTGCCTCCGCTAAATCGTTGTTCTACTCCAAGACAATCTCGGAGGCTAAGGACAACCCTAGGCCCCTCTTCTCCATCACAAACTGATTCCTCTACCCATCTTCTCACGCCTCACCCATCTTCACCTCAAATGCCAACTGCGAGGCGATGCTGGACTTCCTCATATCCAAAGTCGAGGGAATACGCTCAGCTGCCTCTACCACTGCACCTGCTATCCCATCCCCATCTCCTCCTCCCATCCCAGCCCCTACCCACCCCTCTCTCCGCACCTTTGAACCCGTCTCCCCCTCCTCTCTCATCACCACCATGACCCGTATGAAACCCACCACCTGCTCCCTCGATCCCATCCCTACCCATATCCTTACCTCCCAGTTCCACTTCCTTGCCCCTCTACTCACTGACATTGTTAACCTCTCCCTGTCCTCTGCTGCTGTTCCCACCCTTTTAAAAAATGCTGTCATCACTCCTATCCTTAAAAAACCCTCCCTGGACCCTTCTCTACTCTCTAACTACCAACCCATCCCCTTCCTCTCCAAGGTCCTGGAGCAAGTTGTTGCTTCTCAGCTTCGCTCCTTCCTCTCCCGCCACTCCCTTCTCGAACCTCTCCAATCGGGCTTCCGTGCCACCCACAGCACAGAAACCGCCCTGGTTAAAGTGACAATTGACATTCTGTCCATCTGCGACCAGAGCTCCCTCTGCCTCCTCATCCTCCTTGACCTCTCTGCTGCTTTCGACACCGTCGACCACTCTATCCTCATCCACCGCCTCTCCTTTCACCTCAACCTCTACGGTGCTGTCCTTGATTGGTTCAGATTGTACCTCTTACACTGCCTGCACTTCATCTCCTCAAACAGCATCTCCTCTAGATCTCGGACCGTCTCTTGAGGTGTTCCTCAAGGCTCTGTCCTCTTCCACATGTATGCAGATGACACTCAACTCTGTTTCTCTGTCTCCACCCTAAAACTCCAGGACCACTGCTGACCTGACAGAATGTTTGTCAGACATCAAGTCCTGGATGAGAGCTAACTTTCTTCAGTTGAACGTCAACAAGACCGAGACTGTCCTGATTGGCTCCCGTTACCGCCTCCTCACCTCAGGCGCTGACAGCATCACCATCCATGGTTGCACACTCCACCTTGCTAAGCCAGTCCGGAACCTTGAAATCTTGTTTGACCCTCAACTATCCCCACATCCATGCCATGACCTGCTCTGCGTTCCCCCACCTCTGCAATGTCACCCGGCTCTGACACTGTCTCACACCGCAGGCTGCCGAAACCTTCATACACTCCTTCATTACATCAAGGCTCGACTATGCAAACTCACTGCTTGTCGGCCTCCTCAACTCCTCCCTCCACAGGCTGCAGATCATCCAGAACTCTGCAGCCCGTGTCCTCTGCCACACTAGGCTCCGTGAGCCTATCACCCCCATCCTCGCCCAACTCCACTGACTTCCCATCACACAGAGGTTACAGTTCAAGATCCTGGTCCTCACCTTCAAAGCCCTCCACAGTCTTGCTCCGCCCCTACCTCTCCGACCTCCTAACCCCTTAACACCCTGTTCGCTCCCGCTTCTCAGCTGGCTCTGGCTTGCTTCATATCCCCCGCCTTGCTCGCCCCACTTTTGGTGGGCGGGCCTTCCGCCACTCTGCACCCACCCTTTGGAACTACATCCCGCAGTCCCTCTGTCTCACCCCCTCCCTCGCCAACTTCAAGACCCACCTCAAGACCCTCCCCTTCGACCGTGCTTTTGACCTCCCTGCTTCCCCCCATGCCCCTCCCACCCCGACCCTCAGCTCGGGTCTGTAATTCTGTCTGTTCAGGGCCTTGGGACGTCCTCCCACCGTGAAAGGCGCTATACAAGTGTAATATTGTTGATTAGGTTCCAGCTCACGCACTGCAACGTTGAATTACCTATGATTGCTCTTTATTTAAATTTTTTTTAAATACTACTCAATCTGATTTCTCTAGTTCCACTGTACTGTTATTTATTGTGGGATTGACATTTCTTTAATAAAAAATTCAAATACTGTCTCCAAACATTTAAAAGCAAATCAAGGAAGTGAATATTTCTTTGAGTGGTTTAGGTAATTAAGGTGAATGAGTAATGCTCAAAAGGCTTAGTTACTCACTTGAAAATTGGACTACATTAACTTTTCTTTTGCAACTACATTAGCTTTTGCAACTCAAATTTTAGACAAAGAATCATCACTCAACAACAACAACAAAATTACATTTATAGAGCACCTTTCACGTTGGGAGGACGTCCCAAGGCGTTGGACAGTCAGGGGTCAGGATCCGAGCATGGGGGAGGGGTGGGGTAGGGGTGAGGGAAGGTGGTGACTGAAGGCACAATTGAAGAGGATGGTCTTGAGACTGGCCTTGAAAGAGTCAAGGGAGGAAGCGAGGAGAAGGGACTGTGGGATGGAGTTCCAGAGGGTGGGGGCAGAGGGGCTGAAAGCCCGGCCACCGATGGTAGGGCGGGTCGGATGGGGGATATATAGCAGCCCGCTAAACGGAGGGAACGGTCAACTTGTTGGGAGTCAGCAGGTCAGAGAGGTAGGAAGGGGCAAGGCCATGAATGACCTTGAAAGTGAGGACGAGGATCTTGAATTCGATCCTCTGGGGGATGGGGAGCCAGTGGAGTTGGGCGAGGGTGGGAGTGATGGGGTCACGGAGTCTGGTGCATGAGAGAACACGAGCTGCAGAGTTTTGGATGATCTGCAGCTTGTGAAGGGAAGAGTTGGGAAGGCCGATGAGGAGGGAATTTCCATAATCGAGTCTCAATGTGATAAATGTGTGGGTGAGGGTTTTGGCAGCCTGAGGGGTAAGGCAGTGGCGGAGTCTGGCAATGTTACGGAGGTGGTGGTAGGCAGTGCCGGTCATGGGGTGGATGTGGGGGAGAAAGGACAGTTCAGGGTCAAACAAGGTCCTGACTGGCTTAGTGAGGTTGAGTGTGCTGCAGTGGATGCTGATGCTGCCAACGCCTGAGGTGCGGGCGCGAGCCAATCAGGAGGATCTCAATCTTGCTGATGTTAAGTTGGAGAAAGTTGTCCCTCGTCCAGGACTTGATGTCGGACAGGCCGTCGGTCAGGACGCCAGTAGTCCTGGAGTTGAGGGTGGAGGCAGAGAGATAGAGTTGGGTGTCACCCGCATACATGTGGAAATTTACCCCATGTTTGCGGATGATATCACCAAAGTGGAGCATGTAGAGGGTGAAGAGGAGGAGACCGAGGACAGAGCCCTGAGGAACACCGCACAAGACAGTGTGGGGGGTGGAGAAGCCATTTGCTGAGACAAAGTGGAGGCGGTGTGAAAGGTAGCACCTGAACCAATCAAGGACAGAACCTTGGAGGTTGAGGTGGGAGAGGCGGTGGATGAGAATTGAATGGTCCAGTGTCAAAAGCGTCAGAGAGGTAGAGGAGGACGAGGAGGCAGAGGGAGCCCTGGTCACATATGTTCAGGATGTCATTTGTAACCTTGCTCAGAGCAGTTTCCGTGCTGTGGGCAGCACAGTAACCCGACTGAAGGGGATCATGGAGGGAATGAGAGGAAAGAGCGAAGCTGGAAGGCAACGGCTCTCTCAAGGACCTTGGACAGAAAAGGGAGGTTGGAGACGGGCTGGTAGCTGGATAGCTGTGATGGGTCGAGGGAAGGTTTCTTCAAGGTGGGGGTGATAGTGACTGTTTTGAGGGGAGTAGGAACAGTGCCAGAGGACAGGGAAAAGTTGATGATGTCAGCGAGTAGTGGGGCAAGGAGGTGGAGCTGGGATTTAAGGAGAGGGGTGGGGAATGGGGTCCAGAGAGCAGATGGTGAATTTCAGAGGTTTTGGTGGTGATAGAGGGAGTGACAGGTTCAAAGGTGTGGAAGGAGGGATGGGTAGTGGTTGGAGTGTGGTGGGAGGGGCATGTAGGGAGGGGGTGGAAGTTGGGAGGGCAGTGGCAGCTGAGCAGATTCCCTCAATTTTGGACTTATAATAATAATAATCCTTGCATTTGATATAGTGCTTTTCACGTCGGGAGGACGTCCCAAAGCGCTTCACAGAATATACTGTAAAGTGAATTGACTGTATATTTGTGGGCAAACGCGGCAGCCAATTGCGCACAGCAATGTCCCACAAACAGTCGTAGATTAAAAATGACCAATTTATTATTGTTTGGGGTTTTTTGGAGGGATTATTATTAGGCGTGTGGAGTAAGGAAACTTGCCCAAGGTTTCGTCCTGCCTGGAATTGAACCCAGGTGTCTTGCTTGCAAAGCAAGTGCTCTAACCACTGAGCTACAGGACTTGAGGAAGTCCAGCCTTTCCTCGCAGTGGGAGTCAGAGGAAAGAATCTGTGAGGCGTGATGGGGAGGGCGGAGGAGCCAGTTGGTGGAGAACAGGAGCCTGGAATGGAAGGATGATTTGGCCAAGGTGAGAGCAGAGCGGTAGGTTTTGATGTGTTCCAGCCAGATGTGCCGGTGGACCATTGGCCGGATTTGAGCCACGTGCATTCGTCAGTCCGCACCTGGCCCTTGAGGGAGCAGAGGTGGCTGGTGAGGATTGTGAATAGGAGGCAGTTCGAGAGGTGAGGGGTGCAAGGGCGTCGAGTGTGGTGGAGAGGGTGCCGTGGAGGAGAGTAAACGCAGAGGATGGGTTAGTGCAGAAGATGGGCCAGAGGGGGAGGAGTTCAGAGGACTCCAGGGCAGTGGAGAGGGATTGCGGGGAGATCTTCTTCCATGGGCGGTAGGAGATGGTGGTAGGTTTGGAGGCAGTGGGGAGAGGGATATAGGAGTTGAGTGATCAGAGATGGCCTTGTCGGTGATGATGACATCTGAGACCCCAGGTGATCACCAGGTCAAGTGGGTGACCGTGAACGGCCGTGCCGTGTACACTCAAATGTACACTATTGGCATTGAATGAAATAATCAGTGGGTAAGAAAGTGCTGTGACAGGATACAAAAATGATCTAGAAACTTGAAGAAAAAGCTGAGAAGATTTAAGAACTTTCATACAACAATAAAACTAGACAGCTTTATGCATATACCAAGATTCTTTATTAATGGATACAACAAATGTAATAATTATGGACCAGTTAAATATTTCTAGAAAAGTAGTCAAAAAAGCAATACAAAATTGTACTGTATTTAATGGGTATGTCAATTGAAGGATTCACACATAAAGATGCTCTTGAGTTCATTCAAAACGTGTCAAGAAAATTTGTAAAAAATAGCTCTACATCAGTTAGAGGATCAGTTGGTTTAGAGGACATCATGCATGTGGTAAGTTTACGATCAGATCTTCAGCTAACCAAAAAAAATGAGGACATTCTTTCAGATGAAAACGTTTCCACAACTGGCTGAACTAAAGCAAATGGGAGGTGTGGTCCACTGGAAACAAATGTTTAGTTTAAAAAATAAAAATGTCATCATTACAGCATTGAATGATCAGTTCTGTCTCATTAACGAGAAAACTGTCTGTTGTCCACTTTGTTTCTACCAACTTGTTTGAAGATCTTTGCTTTGCGGACATTTTTGAACTTCTGATAACCAAATCCACCTCCACCACCTCTCTTCTGTAGTTTATTTCCTCTGCTGGCATTTATATCTAAAGTATTTGGGTTAAGAAAAGGTGACATACAGAAAGAAAACAAGAATGTAACATTTCAAACAGGAATATTTTAGGATCCTAAACAACAACAGAAGTTAAAATTGTTAAATGTTAAAAAAGCAACTGGCAGGTAACCAGAAAGACATCAGATCAATTAAAAGGCTTTTGTGTTTGTGCGCTCCTGAAGCTTGCTCAACTGCCTTAGAGAGTTGGGAGGAATTTTCCAGCGTCACTTCCCCATCTTCCTTCAAATTGGCCTTGAGGTTGTTGTCTTTGTCTATTCTTTGTCTTAGGAAGGGAAGAAGCAAGCTGCATGACCTGCCACTGGACTAAGAAAGTAGAATGGGCCCCTTTCTTTTCTTTCCATGTAATTTGACACAAGCTTCCAGTACAGATGGTTATCCTGAGGCAAGGTGTAAACCCTTTATTGCCTCAGCTTGGGAGACATCCTACCAACCTGAGAAGCGCTATTCACATGCAATTTGCTGTTTAGACTGTATATTTGCAGAACAGATGAGAGTAATATTTGACTCATTATTTTGTGTTGGTATTTCCTCCTTCAACCATCCTTATCCCAATTCACTGTACTTTTCCCATAATCTGTAATACCCTTCCTCCCCGAGTTACAATCTTGAATTCATTTTTTTGGTCCTCAAATGCCCAGGAGAAAGAATTTTCAGGATTAATTCTCTCAAGCCCTTTCATCCTTTTAAACACCTTTATAGTATTAAGCCTCAACCTTCTCTGCTCCATATAGCTATATTCTTTCATCACTAGTATCATCATGAACCTATGCTGCACCCTCCATTCTTTCTATACCGCACAAAAAAATGCACACAATATTCCAGCCTGTCCAGTGACTCAGATTAATTTCCTTACTTTTAGATCCAATGGCGCTGCATCCAAAAACCATTGCTTGTTTGCCCCTTCAATTGCTTTCACTACCTGCAATATCATTTTAGCAAACGACACGCAGTATAAACCTAATTTTTATAAATCGTACGATCAACTTGTATTTATATAGAGCCCTTCACGTGGGTAGCATCTCAAAGCACTTATGTGACACCGCCCATATAACCACCTAACTCATAACGCCCTCCCCTATCCTCCATTACTCCTGCACTTACCGGCTGCATTGAATCGCGGCAAACGTGATCTTGGTCCAATGTTATCAGCCCTTATTGGCTACAATGACGAACTAATACATGTGCACTTATCGTCTTGGAACATAAGAATTTAGGAGCAGGAATAGGCCATTCGGCCCCACAAGCCTGCCCTGCCATTCAATAAGATCATGGTTGATCTATTCTAACTCCACCTACCCGCCTTATCCCCATATCCCTTTATCCACAAGAAATCTATCAATCTCAGTCTTGAATATGTTCAAGGACTGAGCATCTACAGCCCTTTGGGGGTAGAGAATTCCATAAATTGAGGTTTTTCCTCAACTCAGTGTGAAAGGGCTTACCCCCAATTTTAAGACTGTGAGCCCTGGTTACAGTTTCTCCAACCAGGGGAAAAAGTCTCCCACTATCTATTCTGTCGTGCACCTTAATAATCTTATAAATTTCTATAAGATCACCTCTCATTCTTCTATATTCTAGAGAATATAGGCCTAAATTGCTCAACCTCTCCTCATAACTCCTCCCCCATCCCAGGTACCAACCTAGTGAATCTATGTCGTACCCCCTCCAAGGGGAGTACATCCTTTCTTAAATAATGAGGCCAAAACTGCACATAATACTCTAGATACGGTCTCACCAGGGTGCAGCACGACTTCCCTACTCTTATATTGTAACCATTTTGTAACAAATGCCAACATACCATTAGCTTTCCTAATTGCTTGTTGTACCTGTAAACTAACTTTTTGTGACTGGTGTACACCCAAGTCCCTCTGAACGCTAACACTAGTCTCTCCCCTTCTAAAAAATAATCTGCTCTACTGTTTTTGCCACTTAGGTGGATGACTTCACACTTCCCTACATTATACTTCATCTGCCACCTATTTGCCCACTCACCTTGCCTATCTATATCTCGTTGCATTTTTTTAATGTCATCCTCGGTGTTTACTCTCCCCCTTAGTTTAGTGTCATCTGCAAATTTGGATATATTAAATTCGATGTCCTCATCTAGATCATTGATGTAGATTGTAAATAGTTGAGACCCAAGCACGGATCCTTTATCCCTACTATTTGTTTTCTTCCCGTTAGCCATTGTTCAATCCATGCTAATATATTCCCCTTAATTCCATGGGCCATAATCTTGTGGATCAACCTTTTATGCAGCACCTTATCGAATGCCTTTTGGAAATCTAAATAACACTACATCCACTGATTCCCTCCTCTCTAATCTACTTGATATGTCCTCAAAAAAATCTAAAAGATTTGTTAAGCATGACTTCCCTTTTGTAAAGCCATGTTGACTCTGTCTAATCATATTGTGATCCTCTAAGTATCCCACTTCGACATCCTTAATTAAGAATTCTAGAATTTTCTCTACCACTGATGTCAGACTAACTGATCTATAGTTCTCCCATCTTATCTCTCTCACCCTTCTTAAATAGTGGTGTGACGTTTGCGATCTTCCAATGAATGGGAACCGTTCCAGAATCCAAAGAGTTTTGGAAGATCAGACACAAGGCCTCCACTATCTCATGAGCTACCTCGTTTAAAACCTTAGGATGCAAATCATCAGGTCCAGGGGACTTGTCACTTTTTAATGCCAACAATTTCCCTAGCACTAATTCTTTGCTAATGTAAATTTCTGTAAGCTGCTCCCTATCATTAGCCCCTTGGTTCATCTCTATTTCTGGTAAACTTCTTGTGTCTTTTAACGTGAAGACTGAAGCAAAGTATTTATTTAGGGATTCTGCGATAGCCTTATCCCCCATTATAATTCCTCCTGTCTCTGCTTGTAATGGACCCATTTACTTTTGCTAGCCTATTCCTCTTAATGTATTTATAAAAACTCTTACAATCTGTCTTAATGTTCCTAGCTAGCTTGCCCTCATAATCCATTTTCTCACTCTTAATGAGCTTTTTGGTTTTCCTTTGTTGGTCCCTAAAACACTCCCAGTTCTCAGGTTTCTTACCATTTCCCCTACTCTTTGATGCCCTATCTTCTTTACTGAGCTTCTTACCCCTCTTTGACCTATTGTGTTTATCTCTCTCGCTATTCTGTTCTGCCACCTTTAGTTTTCTTAATATTGCTGGCTTGCGATTATTCCTAATTGTACCCCCCCCCCCTCCTTCACTAGTTTAAAGCTTTATTTACCTCACTATGTATCCCTTCACTGAATTACGCATACTCAGTGTAGATTATTGATTAGATCGGATTTTATATGGATTTTACAAGTTTGCCTGCAACTCATTAAAAGTTACGGTCCCAAATAATACAACTTATGTGAGTTTTACTGTGTGCGCACACCACTAAATCCCTCAGTTTGATTGAGATCTAACAATTCTACTCCTTATTTTTTCTGCCAAAACGCAATTCAGATTTTTCTACATTAAATATTTTCCACAAATCTGCCCCTTCTGCTAATCTGTCAATATCGCCCTGTAACTTCCTGCATCCTTTGTTACAATTTGTCTTAATTCACATTTGTCTTAATTTTCAAAAGGCTTCCAAATAGCAATAAAACTTAGTAATTGTGAAAAGGATACTTAGATCAACATATGGTGGTACTTTGAACCCAAATGAAATTGCCACTTTGGGCAGATCCAGGGTCCTGACACTGTAGATCTGTTTGAGGGAATGAGAATCGTAGGCACGGACATAAGACTTATAAGCTTCCTGTCCAGACTTGTGTAGGTAGTAATTTTTCTCGATCAACTTTTCCAGCTAAAATAAAAATCAAAGTGCAAAAGTGAATGAAAAGAATCTCCATGAATCAGTAGTTTAACACTTAGAGCAACTTTCACATTATTTGATATAAATTGCACGCAAACAGTAAAATACTGAAAAAGGCTGCAATTTCTCATCTTTATCCTCAAATCTGTATTGAATAAATAAAAGCAAAATATTACTATATTGTACTACTGTTATAGGAATCAGAGTATCAAGATGCAGTACACCCCCAATCTCTTTGAGAATTGCGACACACCCTTTTTACCATTTTTTAATACACCATACAAATAGAAAAGTCTTGTGTGCCCACTTCTAAAATGCATAATACAAGACTCTTAAGTTATTCAGGATTTGTATTAGCAAACATGTAAATCCAGGTACTTTGATTGTCACATATATGATAGGCAGAGCTGATATAAAGACTCTATATAAATCCATCTTACACATGATGCAACAAATAAGCTGTCTTTACCTGAGACTGTATGTCTGAAACTTTGCTCCAGGAAAAGTCAAATTCATTCAGAGGTACCTAGAAAAACATTACTTCCGGTGAAATTGCAACAAACAGCATCACAACATTTACATAACAGTTGTTGGAAACTTTAAAAAAAAGTAAATCGACATTAAAAAAAAGCATGTACCACAAAACTATACCTTAGATAAAATGGCTACAGATTAATGGATGGTACATTCACTGTGGCAAGTGAGTACTTGTCCAATTACTGGTCTCGTTTGAATGATTTTCTCACAATGAAAACAGCAGATGTATTATAAAGTCACCATTTTGGGAGGGAGACTGGTATTTCCTTTAGAACTTTCAAATTCTACTTCTCAAAAGATAAACCAAGATTACAAGGTGTCAACACTCAAAACAAATTCTTCAACTTTAATCTGAATTATTCACTTTTCAATCCATCGATTTGGACATCACTGAACAGTAAGAGAAATAAAAAAGTGACTGGATTAAGGATATCTAACCATTGGACTAACATCACCTTGAACTTTTGGTCTTGTAAGTACTGATGACACACTCAGTTTTTGGTTTAAGCAAAAGTAAAGGGCTCAATTTGATAGGAAACTTCACAAATATTTTGAAGAAAGACTTCACTTATGATAGGGCAAAAACGTTAAAGAGCTTTCACCTTAGCCTGTTTGAGATAACGGAGGAAGCCCAGTTCTTCTGGTCTTAGGATAAGCAAAGCATGTCCCTTTCCATCAATTCCTCGGGCTGTCCTACCTACTCGGTGGATATATTCCTGGCAGGGAAAGGAAATCACAAAAAGCAGTGAATATTGAACCATTGGTTAAAAAAAACACAAAACCATATAAAGTCACATGAATACACTGAACGGGAGATATGTAAACAGAAATGTTTCGCCAGATAGTGAGGCAGATAAATGAACAAACAGATCTAGAAAAATACAACTTTAAAAAAAATAGTATGTGCACCATAGGCATTAACAAAGTGACTGTAAAATGGGCATTGGAAAATGAGGAGGTGGAATCTCCAGAAACATGCATTCAAATAGTTACTTTAGTTATGGCTACAGCAATGCAAGCAAAGGGAACGCTTGACTGTAGCAATGAAAGAAAGATCTTTTAGTTATTGTCTAGTCCATCAATGCTGCTTTTTGATCATGCTTATGGTCACCTCTACCCTCCCTCTCCTGCTGGCTCGGGGTCAGACTCCGCTATTGTCAAGCAGTCTGGAACACTACCCTGAATGAAGGGACTATATAAATGCAAGTTGTTATTGTATTTATTTTTCTTGATTTTTTTCAACACCTTTCCTTTTTGATTACTGTAACCTTCACACTTGTAAAATGTCACTCTTTAAAACACGCTTAAGATTCAGTAAACATAACTGCCATCTGTTCTGGGATTTATGTACATTTTCAGGTACTTTCAAATGAATCACAGATTATTTAAAAAGTAATTCAACATTTATACTTTGTTCTTTACCCAGTATACTCAGAATTTATTAGAGCCATAATATTCAAAATTCACTGAGCTGGCCTTAAGCAAATGTCTCTTTGATTTCAAACATGACTAATTGTACTCTCAATCGGCAATAGAGTGAATAGTAACTTTTCAAACACCATGAAGGTTGCAAGACAGCAATAAATCTATTAACCCTCTGATTACTTAAGGCCATGATCTTTACCTGTCAACATGTATTCACATTGACAGCAACCACGAGCTCCAAATTTAAGACTACCCCCCACTCTTTTTCAGATTGAAGAATGACAGTATGTGGTAAATCTTTGGATTACTAGCTATGGTTACATATTCAATTTTTCAACTAGTCAAGAGGCAGATTTGCGAGCCTTTACAAGTTGCTCCTACTTTCTAAAATGGATGGTAGAAGTTAATGACAAGAGAAGCTGAGGTGAAGCTATGTGATATGTACACACAGCAGTTTTTGTTTACTTTTTAAAAAAAATAAATTGTACATATCACAACAATAGCATTACACTTGTTTAGCGCCTTTCTTGTTGGGAGGATGTCCCAAGGCGCTGTACAATCAGTGTTTCGGAACCGAGCTGGAAGTAGGGATCAGAGAGGGTGAAGGGCAGGGGGAGCTTTATTGCAGTTTCATTTCATTTTTTCCATTGGAAGAGAAAGCTTAAAAAGAGCAATTAATGTTTATACCATCGTAGAATTAAACTAATAGAGGCCATTAAGGGCTAGGACACAATACATTGTGCTAAATACAGTTACTATAGGTCTATATGACAATATTCAAGTGCATCATGCTGAATTTGAACTCATAATTCAGAAATAAGGAAGCTCTAAGTACATCCTCCTGAAATCTGGAATAATCAAAGTATAATTTAACACTAAGTAAAATATACAGAACAGCAGAACCTAGAACAAACCAACTATGCAGAAAGGCAACAACAGACACAACAATTGAGGAAGCACAACATTATCTGAATGAGAACTGCAATTAAAACTTCCAGCAGTGGAAGTGGCATACTTTACTTCTCAAACATCATGATAATTACAGCTTTCATGTAAATGGTAAAAACAGGGCTAAGGTTTAAAGATTTGTAAATTATACAGGATAGCATGCAGCGCTACTTGCTCCCAACAGCAATAAAGAGCAATCAAATTTCAGCAATAACCACATTCACTTGGTTACCTTGATGAAAATTCAAGTTTTACTTAGTGTGAAAGTAATTCATGTCCCTGAAACGTAGAGATTGAAAATAGGTTCATGAAGAATATTTCTGGGTTGACTTGAAATGCATAGAATTCCCCAAGGCACGTCAATAGCGATGCAAACAAAATAAGTGACCAAAAATAGGATCAACCCAAACACGGCTGTAAAGATTCAAGTAGTAAATGCACACCGTAACAGCACTGTGCTAAGAGCAGGAAGAATAAGTTTTTGTTTGGAAGATAGTGATGCAAACACCATTTTCTGCAACAGGGCTTTTAGGACGAAATGAAAGTCAAGCAGCATATTTAAAGCAAATCGTACAATGTGTTGCGTGGATAGCCTAGAACCAGAAATGAATCAGGGACATTTTGAAACAATTGAAACAGATTCAGCATTTAATCAGCCACTACATTGTACAATTCACACACGATGTCTCCGAGCAATTCACAAGGATGCCGAATTGGGGGGGTGGGGGAGGAGGAGGAAAACTAATGGCATGATCAAAAAGCTGGATTTTGGGGCACACTTTAAAAACAGAAGGAGATTGGTTTAGCCAGAGGGATAGAAGGCGGGGGTATAGTTGTTGAAAGCTTAGCACAAACGAATGATTAGGGAGGCCAGAAATGCTGGCGGGACCCGAGGCTTCTGTTCTGTCCATGTTGAACTGCAAAAAGTTGAAACCCATCCAAGTCTTAAGGTCAGACAGGCACACAAAACATTAGGGGATCTGTGTTCAAGAGTAAAAGTGGAAAAGGATATTTGGGGGTCATCTACATACATGGCAAAGTTAACCCCACATCACCAAGAGGTGGCACGTAGATAAGAGGGACCAAGGATAGAGCATGAGGTACTCCACAAGCGATGCTGCAAGGGCAGGAGGGCAGAATGCTAAACAACTTCAAATTGAAGCAAGAAAGTGGAACAATGGGTCAAGTAGGAATTGAACCAGGAAAGTGCTATTCCATGTAGGTGGATGAGAAAGGGGAGGCAACTGATGAAGATGCAGTGGTCAAAGGTGTCAAACATACTAAAAAGGTGGAGGAGAAGAAAATAGCCCTGGTCACAGAGAGTACTTTGTTAGCGATCATTGCTACTTACTTGGCAATTTACATTTCAGACCAGGTTGTGGAACTGAAGCTGTTCGACAGCAAAGAAATGCAAATGCAATAAAGTCTCTGAATCTACAGACCATCTGATTATTCTCAAAGTAAAAGTAAATGTCTCAAATCCCTCAATTGAATTGTCCACCTCATACCTTCTTTATTAAATTACCTTCTTTAATACATTTGCTGACAAATTATCCTGTTTTGAGAAACTGCAGAATTATATTTTTATAATCAAATTGCTAAAGATGAAAGGTTTACTTACCTTTGGATCATCGGGAGGATCATACTGTACGATCCAGTCCACCTCAGGAATATCCAGGCCTCTGGCTGCAACATCTGTGCACAGCAATATACCCGAGTCTGCATTACAGAACTGAAAGAAGGTGGCTGTACGTTTTGTCTGCTTCTGCTTTCCCTAAAAAAAGAACATTGAGCAGAGAAGTGAGACCGTTTCAAGGAATAATGAAAATATTCTGTATAAACATTAAAGCAAATCTGACAACCACCTATTCAGAGAATACTAAACAACTACAGACTGAGGCAAGAAAGTAGGGCAGCTGAGTGTATAATTAGTCAATGGACAGGCCAGAACTTCCAACATTTTCTTCTCTTCTGTTTCTGGAGTTTTGTCTCACTGCAACATCAGTGGTGAGCATGTCTGGTGATCCACTTCTAAGACTTCTGCCAACCCCACTGTAAATGAAAGCGTGCTCTAGGCACAACTCTACTAATTTTACTTCCCTCTAATAACTACTGGCTTCTGCTCTGTATGTAGGATAACAGGCATCAAACTAATGCCTTACCTCTCTGTTAAAAGTTGATACTTAACTTGTACATTAGTTAAGATCTCGATTGTGGAATTAAAATATAAAAATTACCAAAAATTTTTGACTTTATGAATCTTTATACAAGTGATTTTGTAATTATACAGTCACACTTATACAATTAGGATTCTAAATGTGCTTATAATACATTATAAAATAATCAAATTGTGTAGATATTAATAGCCTGTTTCTATCTGCTGGTCCAAAATGAGGCTATAAACATAAGATAGCTAGTAATAGATCTAATAGGGAGTTTCTAATACAGAGTTTAAGAGGAACTTCTTAAAGCAGAGGTTGGTGAGAATGGAGAACTCACTGTCAGAAGCTGTTATTGAAATAAATAGCATCAATGTATTTAAGAGGAAACATGATGCACCAATGATGAAGAAGGGAAAAAAAGGGGTATAGGAAAGGCAAAGAGGAGGAGTGGGAGCTCATGTAGGGTATAGACACCAGCATGGAATGACCAGTTTCTGTGACCCATCATTCTATGCTTTTAAACCCTTCCACTTTAAAGAATTCTGACTAATAGTATACATAATGAGTAGGACCATCACCTACAAGAAACTTATTTCTACTCCATTTGCAATTTTGAGACATTTTCATTCACAAGTCAAAAACAAGCTGCAAAAACATAGGTTTGTTTTATAATTGCCAACATGCATCAAGGCACAGTGAAGAGATCAAGTCTCTAAATATATTCTTGTAGTTCATGATCTTTCTACTCACGTGAATTGCCATAACAGGTAAGTCAATGTAGTTCAGAAGTTCGTAATGGTACTTTACAGACATACACGAAGAGAAAAAGACCATGAGCTTCTTTTTACGGTTCTTTTTCAGGAAGGTGAAGAGCAAGAGGAATCTTTTCTCAGATGGGCACACGACGTAACCCTAAATATGAAAGCCAAAAGAATCAAAATCAGTATAAAATTAACCATCAGTCTGTAAATGATGAGACTATTAAAACCATCACAAGCAATCAACCCCTCTTCATAGAACCTCAAAAATCGTTCAAGTTTCAAAAATTATTCAACATTGCATTGAAATGACAGAAAATTTCCAAGAAACTTCAACTGAATTTATTTATTTAATAAACTAGTCAGATTCATAAAATTATTAATGTTTGAGGGCGAGACCTACAATTTCTCCATATTCCTGTTAAAGGCACTGTGTGTGAACAATAAGCACACAACCGCATTGTACTGCAATTACAATACTTGTAACTTGATTAATCCTTGAAAGTTTGATTCTTGTACAGATCATTTGGAAGTTATGAAAATGGCACGATTTTAGAAGTAATTTTAAGGTGTCGACTCCACCCCCCCACCCCCATGTTTTAATAGCAATGTAATTCTCATTTAAAAATAAATCTTTAGCAAAACAGCAAATCACTGATTATTAGGCAGCAGAGCAGATGGCTCACCTTCAGCCAGTTAAGGTGCCAAAGAAGCAGACTCTGGTTTTCCTGCTGCTGTTTGGCAATGAACTTGGTACTCAATTGTGTGTGTGTGGGGAGGGGGGAGGTAGAGGAACGAGCAAAAGAAAAATGTAATAGACATTTCACTCAACTCTGAATCCATCTTTTGTCAGTTAATCACACAGCAATACTAAGATATAAAAGTACCATTCCATAGGTCACACCATTGTCAAAGTTAGAACAAGCTGCCAGTGATAAGGTCCATGACACTGAGAAAGATACATTTTGGCTTCATCTTACCTGTTCAAGACCATCAACTGTTGCCGTTTCTTTGTTGTCATCAACACCCACATATAATGGTTCCCTCTTTAGTGAGATTTTGGCCAAATCTTCCACTTTACGGGTTTGTGTAGCAGAGAAAAGCAGCGTCTGTCGGCGTTCTGTAAAATTATAGATTTACAATTTATTCACTTAACATTCAAGAGTTTTATTATAGTGTTTTACAGAATATGATCTCTCTGAAACTCTTCGAAGGATGCAGAATTTAAACTGTCCTACAATTTTGTTAAATATTTTCCTATAACTTTTCACACCATGAGACAAAATACAACTAAAATCCTAATCAACAATTAAAACTACAAACACATACTAAATTTTGAAAAAAAACCAAAAAACATAGTTGAGCCCTTTTCAAATATTGTAGCTTTTCCTTCTATCAAACATGGTTCTTTTTTTTTTAATATTCCTTTAACCTTTGTTAAACTGACTGATAATTTCTGACAGAGGAGGGATTGGAGCAGAAAACAGAGAATAAAACCTTCTTTCCTCAGCCAAAGATTTTCAGGTGTGATATTCACCTGGTTAGGACTAACATTTCAATCAAATTCGAGACATTAGTTATACTTTTGAAGACAGACCAGTTGCAGAAGGGAGAACATTGGTAAGTGTAGATTGAAAAGGGCAGCATGGCCAAGATTAAAACACATTTTCCTGACTATGTAGTGGATTGTAACATATATATATATAAACACATTTTTCTATCCTTTAGTATCTCTTATTTCTGTTGTCTACAAATCTAAACAAGTTAATATAGGATTATGTAAATGACCTTCAGGCTACATGAACACTGACACAGTTTTGTCTAGGATTAGAAATTATACAGGATTGAAGTCTTATTGTGGAGTCCTGTAGCTCAGTGGTTAGAGCACTCGCTTTGCAAGTGAGAGACCTGACTTTAATTCCAGTCAGGGCGAAACCTTGGGCAAGTTTCCTTACTCCACACGCCTAATAATAATCCCTCCAAAACCCAAAACAATAATAAATTGGTCATTTTCAATCTACGACTGTTTGTGGGACATTGCTGTGCGCAATTGGCTGCCGCGTTCGCCCACAAATATACAGTCAATTCACTTTACAGTGTGTTCTGTGAAGCGCTTTGGGACGTCCTCCCGACGTGAAAAGCGCTATATCAAATGCAAGGATTATTATTATTCATCCTCATTTGAAAGAGTAAAATCATTTGTACTATTCTGTTGACAAATTTAAAAAAACCTTCCCATTTTGTCAAATAACATCGAAAACAAAGACCAAAAAAAGTTGCAAAGATTGCAACCAGTACAGTGAAAGATTCACTCACTTGGTAATATTCTGATGATTTGTTTCATTTCCTCTTCAAATCCGACTTCCAGAATACGATCAGCTTCATCAATTATCAGACACTGCAGGTTCTTGAACATAAATCCTGGTGTGTTCTGCAAAGAAATGAAGCTTCTTAACAAAGTATACACTCAGTCTCAACACTTCAACTTTCAAGATGAAAACATTAAAATCACAACATTTCATTATTCTTGGGAGACTGAAATCTTTCAGCTTCACTAATGTGAATATTCAATTAATTGGGGGTAATTTTGCAGAAAAGCATAAGCTTGAACACACAGTAATAAAAAGAACACAAATTGTGAGGCAGAGGAAATGGCACATCCATTTATTGCTCTAAACACACAGCTAGAGATAAGAATACCGTACCTGCATGTGATCTAGAAGTCTGCCTGGCGTTGCTACCAAGATATTCATTCCATTTGCCAATTTCTGTGCTTCTGCAGTCCGATTACTGCCACCCATGACCAAACCGTAAGTATGAACATGATGTGTCATTAGTTCTTTTAGAACACCATAAGACTGCATGGCTAATTCACGAGTTGGTGAAAGAATAAGGACCCCAGTGCCTGAAGACGACAAAAATGTACAGTGTGCTTTGGATTTACAGTAAACCCCTGGCTCCTGGTGCCTGGGTTTCAAACCCAGCCAAAATAGACACCTGGCGGCCCAGTCTCCTAATGTGTGGCCCAGTCTTTCTGCCCTTGATGGCCTTCATCAAGGAGATGGACTTTAACTCAGTTTGAATCCCAGTAGCAGAAGATGTTTTATTCTCTATCTTCTGCTCATGGGATTCGAACAATTACAATACCGGAATAGAAAAAAACCTGGTGCCGAAAAAAGCTGTTAAATGCTGGTACTGCATTGTAATTACACTCCGCCAGAAATTCTAGCTCGCCAGACTAGACCCCTGGCCCTTGGTACGGTTAGCCAGGATTTTAGTGTATATTAAATAAAACAAGCTTATTTTTGTATCTATCTATTCGTGCCTGTCACTATCTATCCCTATATCTGGAGAGATGTACAGAGGAGATTTGTTATTCGATTGAATTTCAAGAGGAAGCAGACAAAAAAAACTTTATTAGATTTTCTTATCTGAAAACGTTAATGGGGAAGAGGGAAGGGGATCACACAAATATTTATAATATTTATCAAACAAAAAGTTTTGAAACTCTGTAAAGGCACTGACCCAGGCAGTCGGTTAGCATGCAAGAATTTAGCTTTTTTTAAAAAAAAAGGTGGATTGGCATATTTTGAACATTCATTAATACAGTGTCACCTTACTCTTAATATTTATTTAAATCCGTTAAACAGATTCATGAGACCATTCAACATGTAAATTCTGTTCCACCAGTTTATTAGATCATCGTAGATATTTTAATCCTATTTCCCTTGTTTTACTATTAAATAAAAATACTTTAAAAAAATAGAATCCCAATTATAAATGGGACCTTAAAAGTAAACGATGGTACATCTCTAATTGTTTAAAAGTACATACAAATTGAGTCACTAGTTTACCATTTCTAGGCATGAACTTCAGTTTGTATATCAGCTCAATGGCAGGAATAAGAAATGCCAGAGTCTTTCCACTGCCCGTCTTGGCAGCTGCCAAAATATCCCTAAAACAGGGAAAAAAATATTTAGTTTTACAGCCTTGGTGTTATTCCTACATTCATTTCCTTCACCTGTGGATAACATGCAAGAGATCTTGAAGTGGATAGACAGAATGGCTGAAAGCCTGCGCACTGATGGGGCAGGGGGCATGAATTCACTGGGAACCACCTGGTCAGTAGGGTTGAAGGATGTCAGGTGGTATGATAGTATGAGACTGTGGAGGGATTTGAAAATGAGAACGAGGATCCTGAATTCAATTCTCTAAGAATGGGGAGCTAATGGAACTGAGCAAGGATAGGGATGCTAAAGCTCACAGAGCCTGTGTAGGGAAGAGTTGGGAAGTGCAGTGACCAGGGGATTAGCATAGTGAAGCCTGAATGCGATGAAAGTGTGGATGAGGGTCGATGCTGTCAGTGCCTGAGGTGAGAAGGCACTGATGGGGCTAAGCAGGAGTGCCTCAATTTGTCAATGGTTATCTGAAGAAAGTTAAAGCTCTTCGAGGACTTGATGTCTGACAGGCAGTCGGTTAGAATAGCCGAGGTCCTGGAGTCAAGTATAGGCAGAGAGACAGTGCGTGTTATCATCAAGTAAAATATACACATCGTACCTGCCTTCCAGTAGAGGTCTGATACTTTTATGTTGAATTTCTGTCATATGAGTAAACCCCATTTCAGCAATAGCCCTCAACGTATGCTCACTAACCAGAGCAGTCAAGGAAGAGAAGCTTGTGTCCTCAAAAGCTCCTGAACACAATAACAAATTGCATTAACTCAAATACATCACAATGACAGCTATTCATACATGAATGATTCAGGGTATAAGATGTGGTGATTTTTAATAGGAGTGAGGTTTCCTTATAGTAACTGGAAATAGAACCCACTGACATGTGGAACTCCACTTTGAAACCAGATCACTGAGGGCAGTTCCCTGGAGTTAGTGTGGTAAATTGTCAACCAAAGAACTGAAGTGCCAATAGGCAGATCTCCATCCTTGTCTTTCAGGGTTTTGCAATGCTTTTCAAATGAAACAGAAGAAAACACAAACTCAGTAATGAGATAAGAAATCAAAATGAGGTGTAGAGAGAATAACTGTATATAAATTTAAAAATGACAGAAAAGAATGTAAGATAAAAAAATTTGATAATATGAAACAAATGGAAAGTGTGAACCTTAAAATATTAAACTACAGTAGTTTACCAGTCTGTCCCAAAGGTAATGTTGGCTCTCCATCATCTTCAGATTGTTCTTCACTTTCTATGCATTTTTGCTTTAAGTTTACTTCTAACTCTTTATTGTTGTTCATCTCCAGCTCCTTCATCTCCTCTTCTGTATTCTTGGTTTTTTTTGCATCTACAACAAAGATAATCTACAATCAGGTCTTTTTATATTGGTATCATTAAGAGAATTCTCCTTTTCTAAGATGACAGGAGATTTAGAAGTAGGGCTTTACCTTGGTTTAACTTTGTGGATAAAAAGAAGTTTAATGATCCACATTGATAAGCCATTATTTTATCCAAACCACAAAATCAACTGCTTTTTAAAATGTTCTCAGCTGTTACATTTGTGATCGATAGCATCAGTAGGTAAAACAGCATTTTATTTTACCATTCTGAAGCTGAATTTCTGAAAACATAAACTTATTAATCCTAACAGTACAGGACACAAACATCTATAGTAATGAGAAAATAACTGCTGAAAATACACAGAAAGACAGATGTATTATATAACGCCACATAACAACTCGCTGTAAAAATCTACATTTACTACACAAAGGGACATAAATTCTGCAGTGAATCTAGGATTCAGAGAGCATCCATTTGGCCAAATTAAAAAGCGTAAAATTATAGTTTTCATAGAATCGTACAGCACATCGAGTTTGTGCCGGCTCTTTGAATAGAGCAATATAATGTCAATCCCACTCCCCAGCGCTTTCCCCATAAACCCTGCAAACCCGTCCTCCTCAAATACCCGTCCACCGCGTTTTTAAAAGTAGTTATCGAATCGGCCTCGACCACCCTTGGCAATGCGTTCCAGTAATTTATTGTAGCTATCTAGATAAGTGCCATTTCTGCAACATTTACCAATCCATGAACTGATCTATCAGTTACACATTTGAGCTGTAGTAGAGGAGTTCATCAGTTTTTTTTAAAAAGATGTTTTCAGACACCTCTGCTTAGAAAATGGATTTTATATTTTGAAATAGCTGCCTATTCATTGATAGCACAATTTGTATAATGTCATAACTTCTATTTTATGTGCTACATTCACCACCTTTCATATAGCCAAGGCCTAAACTTTGATGAAAGAAAAATACAGTAGAACTCCATTAAAAGTTTTAAAAGTTCGAAGTTTAGCTGGTGCGTGCTTGCATGAAGTGTCACCAGTGGCAGCCACTTTTAAGGACATGATGTCAGGTGAGCTTCTACTGTGTGTTCGTAACATCAGCAGCTGAACAGTTAACCAAATAAATGAATACAATGCATAAACCAAAAAGATACTCTTGAAGTATGCAGTTTCCTAATATTACTGCCAATGTAATTGATTTGTTTTCACGCTATGAAGTAAACTTTACTTATTTAGGACACATCTAAGGAAGATTACTTTCCATTCACTGCACTTTGCCTCTGAAGAAAGCACTAAAGCCTAAATGAATTTAAGATAATCCTTTAATTTTATATAGCTCTTTCACGCAGGGAAGACGTTTCATAGCGAATTACAAGATTTACTGTGTTCAACACTTACCAGTTTCCTGAAAGACAGTGGAAAGCTTTCTTTTCTTTTTCTTCTTTTTTACTTCTGATACACATTTTGTTACTTCACTCTGATTAATAATTCCTTGTTTTTCCTTCAACTTTTTTATTGTTTTTCTTTGTTCAACTCCATTTTCTTGGAGCATTTCACTTTTAACTTCATCTTGTTGGATCTCTGTCAGCATAAAGTTAAGATTTCAGTATACCAAAATTGAATACACTGGATGCAGCTTGAATGTGCGCAATGTGACTAATTTTAACTGTGTTTACAGTTAGGAGGGGGTTTGATACCAACCACTAAGTACAATACAGGCATGGGGTGATTGACACACATGCTCAAAGCAGTTAAGGACAGCACCAGAGAGAATCAGTGTGTGTGTGCGTGTGTGGGGGGGCGTAATTCCTGATAGATAAGTTTTGTACTGTGCACTCATTTTAAGTAATGCACAATATTTATATGATATTCTTATCTATGACAGAATTGGTCTCAGGTCTCTCCTGAACTTCCTGTACTTGCATTTATCCTTCACGTAAGATTGTCTTGGAGTGCTTCGGTGATGAGGTTGGATGCTTAGCTATTTAATATAAGTGCAGGAAGAGAAGTGATTTGAAGATAGACAGAAAGAGGGTGAAGCAGAGGGCGAGAGGTAGAGTCTTGAGGTTCGGGGCATTGGGGACTAAATGCTCAGCCACTGACGATGGCGCAGAATGCACGCAGGTCTGTATTAGCTGAGTGTAAGGGGTGGCAGCAGGGTGTAGTGTGAGGCAAACAGAGAGATAACAGAGGTCCTTGAAGTTGATCCATTTGGAGCTAGGCGACGACTGGAGTGCTGGGCATCTGAGCTTGTTCAGATAAGGGTTGTGGAATTTTGGATCAACTAAAATTTACAGATGGACTGTTTTCACAACCACGAGTGGGTATAGAAATATTTTCAGTAAACGCAGCCCCCGCAGGAGAGAGGAAACACAAAGGTGGCTATTTTCGCAGTCGTTATTTACATTAAGCGTCTCGTCTACTCAAAACAGGCATTCATAACCCTTACCTTTGACGTTATGCCTTTCATGTTGGGAGGACATACTGTAAAGTGCAGTGATATCTTCTGTGTGTGTGTGTGTGTGAAGGGGTGGAGAGAGAGAAGGCGGTAGCCGATTTGCGAACAGCAAATGCCCTGCAAACAGCCATTAAGTGAATGACTGATTTGGGGCCGGATAGCTGGTCAGGTTCCCGGGAGAATCGAACTCCCCCCCCAGATAGAATAAGATAATAAGACTCTTGGGGTCTGGGTACAAACACACGCTCACTCCCAGAGCAACACCAGACACACGCGGCGCCACCAGACCAGACCCCGGCCCGCGCTCCCGGAAGCTGCCGAGCTGTGACTCTCACCTGCTGTGGTCTCCACCGCTAAATTGATCTTTTTAATCTTCGCATTTTTCTTCTCCAGGTTTCTGCGGATCTTCTTCATACTCAGGTCCGCCATCTTGTGCCGACACGTGAGGCCAAAGGACCTCTCCCCTTTATAGGTGGTAACAGGAGTGCCTGTTAAAGACAAGGCAATCTCACTCAAATCTCAGTCCCAACCAGTTGATTAAAACAACTCTTTGACAACTTGAAATTCCATGAGCTTTGTTTATTATGGATTATGATTTACTTGCCGGCGGTGTTTGGGCACACCGACGAATTGTCCAATCAGGACGGGGCGCATATGTCACGTGGGGAGAAGGACAGCACGTGGTCAGACGGCTCCTCTTTGTGCTCCTCACAGCCCAATAATACAACAGCAACAACATGGCACTCACATCGGGAGGTCGTCCCAAAGCGCTGAACAGTCCGGTGTCGGGGCCCGAGCATGGGGTGGGGGGGATGGTGTAGGGGTGAGGGAAGGCGGAGAGGTGGGAGGGAGACGGTCAAAGAGAATCCTTACATTTGATATAGCGCCTCATCACGTCTTCTAAATAATAATAATAATAATAATCCTTGCATTTGGTATAGCGCTTTTCACGTCGGGAGGATGTCCCAAAGCACTTCACAGAACACACTGTAAAGTGAATTGACTATATTTGTGGGCGAACGCGGCAGCCAATTGCGCAGAGCAATGTCCCACAAACAGTCGTAGATTGAAAATGACCAATTTATTATTATTTTGTTTTTTTGGAGGGATTATTATTAGGCTCTGTGTGGAGTAAGGAAACTTGCCCAAGGTTTCGCCCTCTGCCTGGAATTGAACTCAGCTCTCTCACTTGCAAAGCGAGTGCTCTAACCACTGAGCTACAGGACTCCACAACCATGTGCACTTACCGGCCAGCTGCAATGAATCGCGGGAAACATAGTCTTGAACCATTGCCTGATGCGCAAAAGAACTTCCATTTCCTGCGATTCAATGCTTGCTGGTTAAATTAAATTAAGTTAAATTAAATGCCTCAAAGCGCTTCACGGAATATACTGTAAAGTGAATTGATTGTGTATTTTGTGGGTAAAACGCGGCAACCAATTGCGCACATGAGTGCCCTGTCCCACAAACAGTCGCGGATGAAGTGACCAAATTATTATTTATTTTTAAAGGATTGTTACCCCGGGAAATGCGAGCCGCCGGGTTCCTACTTGCTGCTTGGGAAACAGAAGAATGTGGAGTAAGGAAAGTTGCTCAGCTTTTCGCCCTGCTGGGAATCGAACCCAGGTCTCTCGCTTGCGAGGCGAGTGCTGAGCTACAGGACTCCCAATTATTCATCTCAATGTAATTCTGCTTGGTTTGGATACTCATAACCATTGTGATGGGTTTTCAGGTGTGGCGGACACCCGGCCTATAGCACCATTCATGTCTAGAGGAAGTCTTCAAGAAGCACTCTCTTGAGATACTATCCCACATGAAGGGCGCCATATAAATAAGTTGTTGTCTGAAGGCTCTCTGGGATGTAACGTAGTGATTGTAATATGTAGTTGTGTTATTCATTTTAATTAAGCTAATTTATTGAGTTACTTGTGAGCAACCGCACAGCTAATTTGCACACAGAAATAATTAGGCCACATGTGGAGTATAATTAGAACCATAATAGTTTTATAATTTCAAACCCGTGCTTGTCAGATGTCAAATGATCCAACTATTGACTATCCTCAATAGTTGGGAGGTAAACGGTCTCCTTGGACCAGGCAGGACCTGGAATGACAGACTGTCACTTGGCGCAGGGAGTCATCGCATTAACCCTGCAATCCAAAGCCCTAACGGGTAGGGTGGTCCTAGCTGGACAAGCAGTAGGAAAGCTCACCAGACAGGAATATCAATGGCAAGCTCCGCGATTTTAGCTGATTAGACTCCAGCAGTACCCCAACACATTCTGGGGGCACCCAAGCCTTGGCTCTTGCCAACCTGTGCCTTATACTTTCCGGAATTAGATAAGCAGGATGTGTCCCGCCAAGGAAAGACTTGTTCAATTCCAACAATCTGGGATTTCATGTGTAGGTGGGATGTATGGAATTCTCAGCTTGGTTTGAATACTCTTATGCATAATGATTGGTTTACACATGTGACAGACCCAACCCCCCAAAAAAAAATTAAGGGATGAGCCCATTAAATAAGCAGACACTTCTAAATATGCTGTTGCCAGAGGGTGTGTTGCTCATTGTCAGAGGTGCAGTCCTTGGATAAAAAATTAAACCAAGATCCTGTCTGCCTTTTCAAATGGATGTTAAAGATCCCTTGGACTGTTCGAAAAGAGAGGAGTTTCCCAGTGTTCTGGTCAACAATCTCCCAAGCCAAATAAAATTGGTCACTCACTCCAAGGCTGATTGTCGGACATTGCTGTGTGCAAGCTGGTTGCTGTGTTACACCCACAAAATACAGTCAATTTGCTTTACAGTATATCCTGTGAAGCGCTTTGAGACATCTCGACAATGTGATATCAAATGCAAGGATTTAACCCTACTAGAATAAGCTGAGTATATCTTTAATATAGATGTTTATCTTTAATAAACTTTTACATGGTGCCCTCTGGTGATCAAATGACATAACTACATCTTGCTTCTCTTGATACACATTGATGATTACACAGTACACACAGCCATTGGGTACAAGTCTCATAACTCTAATGCACTTCATTCAGTTGCTGATTTTACCTTTAGACAGGCAATTTAAGAACTTGTAAAGCTGTGATTGCTTGTTAGGCGATTTCAGTTGTGTAATTTAATTCCTGCCAGAACACATCATTAAATGTTAAGCATTAGGGACCATTCATAACAATTAGCAGTATTTTGTACAGTACAATTTGGGAGGGGGAGAGGGAAGCGAAAGAGGCATCTCTTCATACTTGTGAAAAGTATGACAATTATAGATAGCCCTTTCAGTGATGTTGAGAGTTTATTTTCATCAGTCTTACACTTGCTACATCTAAACTCAGGAGCCTAAAGACACCTCATTACATTTCTAAATAATATTTGTCGAGATTGCCCTAAGGTATTCTCACTTTAAATTACTGACTTCTGAAATACCACAAGCAGCGTTACTTTGGCGCAGCTACAATTTAAAACTCATAAATGATGATTTAAAGATCATTTTCTATAAAGTAGTTTAAGTATAACACAGAACACTGGAATGTTCAGTACAGAATGTTCAATGTATTCTGTATATTATCCCTCACCATTCTGGGGCCAGCAGTAAGGCGGCCACAAGACAGATTGGCCCAGCTGGGGTGATATTTAGCCACAGCTTTTATTTATTTTTACCCTTTCTGAGAGGAAATACTGCCAAGATATTGTAATATTCTCCCCAGTTTGGATGTGTTTTGAATGAAGGACAGAATATGTAGAAAGAATTCCAAAAAAATATATTACTTTCATGCTGGATATTTTGGAAAATAAACAGATTGAATGATTAGATTTTGAGACTGAAACAGCTCAGACGCCGATTTGTTTAGCATCTGGAGTGGCAAAATAATGGACAATTGCTGTTATTCTTCAAAAACCTGTATGTGCTCCGTTTCAGGTTACAACACTATTTGATGTTAAAGGGTTGTATCAGTGTTAACTATTAGGGGTCATCCATAATTAGTTGTCCACATTTTTAACAGTGCAGTTTCGAAGAGAGTAAAGTGAAAGATATTCTCATTATTCTTCTTTCTTTTAGTAAACTGGACATCTCACCCATCACCGTGTTCAAGAATGTCCAAACACTCTTGTGAAAAGCTGGAAGCAATAGCAATTTATTATTGTTATAAATTGCATTAAAAACAACGTGGTAGAAATTCCACCTGAGTCTCAATTTACTATTGTAACATATCAGATTGTCTGGAATTTGGAAAATTCTTAATTAAAGCTTAATTTTGAAGCCAGTTTTCTGTACGTTGTTTTAACTGTACCTCAAGGCTGGACTATGGGAACTCTCTCCTCGCCGGCCTTCCCGCCACCTCCCTCCACAAGCTGCAGGTCATTCAGAACTCTGCAGCTCGTGTACTGTCCCGCACCAGGCTTCGGGACCACATCACTCCCACCCTCGCTCGCCTCCACTGGCTCCCCATCCCCCAGAGGCCTTCAGCCTCTCAGCCCCCAGGCTCTGGAACTCCATCCCCCAGTGCCTTCGCCTTGCTTCCTCCCTTTCCTCCTTCAAGGCCGGTCTCAAAACCTTTCTCTTTGACCGAGCCTTCAGCTCCCCTCTCGACTCTCTTCCCCCTCCTCGCTCCCTCCCTTCCCTCCCCTCACCCTGACCATTTCCCCCCTCCTCGCTCCCTCCCTTCCCTCCCCTCACCCTGACCATTTCCCCCCTCCTCGCTCCCTCCTTTCCCTCCCCTCACCCTGACCATTTCCCCCCTGCGCGGGTCATGACCCAACTGTGCAGCGCCTTGGGACGTCCTCCTGACGTGAAAGGCGCTTTATAAATGGAATCTTGTTGTTGTTGTTGTTGTTAAAACTACTTTGATAAAGAAATGGTCCAAGATAGTCTTGTCATAGATAATAATCCTAGCGTTTGCATTTGAGACACTCCAAAACTCTACCTATGTAAAGGATGCTGTACAAATGCAAGTTTTGTTGTTGTTGATACAGCATCTTATGTTGTTGAGATAACTCAAAGCTTTACAGGATATACCGTAAAGTGTAGTGACTGTATTTTATAGGCAAACCCAGCAGCCAATTTCCGTGCAGCAATGTCCCACAAACAGCCAGTGAATTTTAGTTTGGAATTTTAGTTTCAATTTTAGTTTGGAAGATTGTTGGTCAGGACACCGGGAGAAATTCCCTTCTCTTTTCAAACAATGCCATGGGATCTTTAACGTCCATTTGAACAGGTTGATGCGACCTTGATATAACATCTCTTCCAAAAGACAGTAATAATAATAATAATAATAATAATAATAATGCAGAACACGCCCAGCACTGCATTGTAGTGTCAGCCTAGACTATATGGGTCCCGGTCCTGACATGGGATTTGAACCCACAATCTTCTGACTCAGAATGGGAGTGCTACCTTAATCAAGAACTTGTGACTCTTTGGTGCTTTATTACATTGACATGTGTCAAAGTGCTTTACAAATATTACATGCAGTGCTTTTAATAATAATAATAATCCTGCATTTGA